AGATAGTGTCTGTGTGGTTTGGAGGTGAGTGGAATGAGAGGGCTGTGCAGGCCAACCCTCTGGAGGAGCTCTGTCCCAGATCCTCCTCTGCAGCAGCACAGCGGAGGCTCAGGGCCACAAAGCCCAGACACAAAATCATCAAGAAAACTATATCCTCCTTTTGTCATTATTCCCTCAGGTTCATTAAAGCTGGATTAGGCTCAAGGATGTAAACCGATCACTTCTCTCACTCTTTCTCACAAATTCAATGGATCAACTGGAGCTATGCCAGAAATCGGAAATGGCTTTCTCAAGTTTTCTAAGATTGCGATGATTGAGACCTGACATAAAATCAGAAAACAGTGATATGTGGCAGTAACAGTGTGAGGTGCTAAAGTTAATTTTGTTGATTGAAAAAAAGAAGGCAGGAGTACAGCCCTTCACCCTGAACTGTAGCATTGCCGATGGAAATAGCCATAGAATAGAAAAAATATAGTCTCCTCTTCTGATTTGGTCAAAACAAAAGACAAATGCATGATGTAGGTAGAATCTGTATGTAGCAAGTTTCTCTTTGGACCTCAACCAAGACATGTATAATCATGTTTAACAATATATGTAGATGAATTACCATGATATTGTAACAAACACTTATTTTTGAGATTACCAACCGAACCACACGTGCAAAAACAAGACCAAACCTAAGTTATAATACCGCACGCCCTTTTGCTGCAGCCGCCTTTCCCTTCCTTGACTGTCTCTGCTCGGCTCCGTAATGGTGTTTTGTATAATTCATTACACTCCGGTCTGTTGTGCTACTCTTTTCACATTTTGTCATCTTTGCAAAGTGCCGTCAGGCTGTGAGCATCTGGAGCCCCGCACCAGGCTAAAACAATCATAGGAAAGTCTTTATGTTGTTGAGATAAAGATGAGGTTCAGATAGAGGCAATTTGACACGATGTGGAATGGGAGAATAACGGCTCTTTTTGTCCCCATTTGTATTTTGCATTCGCAGGTTCCAACATTTACAAAAAATAATGTACTATTTTCTTTCTTTCCTCTTATTGCAGATACAGTGTTATGGTCGTTTTGGTCACATTAAGTCATTTGAGGCATTCACAGTTAGGAATTCCTACTGGGTGCACCTCTACTTTAACTATATCTAATCTGGAAAACATTGAACAAGTAATAATGAAAAGCTGGTAGAAATAATAGAAGTTGGGAGGATTTCTTACAACTAAAACTACTACTACTACTACAACATCATTTTGTCCTACATTTTGACAAGCATGATTGTAATGTATTCAGAGATGATTAAAAGTGAAGTAAAATGTATGGGATTATGACGGAGGGGCCGCAGAGCATGAAGAGCAGACAGACTTCAAATATGAATCTTGGCTCGAGTTGGTCCCAGGGGAGTGCTACCATACAATGAGATGCTCAGTGGGACCTCATGGTGCATATGTATGCCAATGCGTGAGCGTATATCAACAAGGCATCCCCCTGCCAGCGGAGAGGAAGCCTGGGGGTGGGGTGAGGTCCAAAATGTAATCAGGAAGCATAAAAAGACCTTCAAAGCAACATACATTCAAATTATGTAAAATAAAAAAGGGCTCTGCAAAGTGGATTTTTTCAGTTTTTCAATGTGGAATGAATGAAAACAAAGGTACAAGCATAATAGAAACTCAATCAAGCATGCATCAGTATTATTAACAAGCCACTTTGAAAACAATACAGGCTAAACATATATTGAATACCTTTATTACAATATCTATGGACCTCACCATGCTTAGGTCTTTTGACGTTATTTTGTTGCCTTGAATGTTCCCCAGAGTAGCATTACAGTAAAAAACCCTTTCTACAATGAGAAAACCCAGAAATATATGCAATAATTCCATACTGTAGAAAATACCAAAACAAAGGAATCTTGTGGTTGAGCAAGTGTAGAAACCCTTTGCAGTTTCAAGAGAAGAGAGGTGAAATTGCTTACTGCACCTCTAAACAAACTTTTAGCCAAAAGATCATTGGATTTACTTTTAAATACCATGCAAGCAGTTGTCTTTAATCCACATAAAACTATAAGATGTGGACAAATTGCTCTTAAGATGCAAAGTGCCATATTGAACTGTGTTAATATGGATTCATTGATTTCCTCTGAACTGGTCGCTCCCACAGCCGCAGAACGAAAAACTGCCTGAGCTGCAATTCAGTCCGGTAACAAAGCAAATATGAGAAAAGAGTCTGACACATTCTCTAGAACTCAAAAGCAAAACATGACAGTAAAAAACACAGGCTTAGTCAACAACTCATTTAGTCACAATCACCAATTCTTCTTATCAATGCGCAATTCCCAGATTATTGTCAGGATTAGTGCTTATTAGGATTATCATTACTATCCTGGAGTTTGAAATGACAAAAGTACATTATGAAGACAGTATCATTGAAATTCCTACAGATTTTATGCACTGTATTCTACATTTCAGATTCATGCTGCTAAAATCTGGAGCAATCTTCCTGAAAATGTGAGACAGGCCTCTTCTCTGACAATGTCTAAATCCAGGCTAAAAACGTACTGTGATTATTTATGATTTTAATTTAAACATTGGCCTTAGAGCCTGAAGGTCATGGGTTCGAGCCCACCATAAGACCTACTGTACTTCACGACTGCCACTGATAACTGCTGCCGTTGTGTCCTTGGGCAAGACACTTAACCCCACTTAGCCTGAAGCCCCCGCTGAAAGATCAAGCCTTCCCTGGACTCACCACCTGCAGGAGGATCAATGAGGGACTGGTGCTCTGTGTACTGGGTGCAGCTCTGAGAGCACTTTGAGTTGCCTTGTGTATGAATTGTACTATAAAAATACACATGCCTTGCCTTGCCTATTCCCCAGTATTTAAAAAATATACATGCTATTCAAAAAGGGGTAGTGGTAAATGACAAATAATAACTTTTAGAAGCGATAGTGAGCAACAAAATGAACAAAAAGCAAAAGCAAAAATACTACCATATGGTTTTCTATCAAAAGGGGTTTATTGTGTTGCATTTCTGTATTTAGCTTTTAGCCTAATGGTAGCCGCGGTCCCTGAAGTGCGTGTATAATGTATTTTGTTTTCAAGTTCCCGTTACGAAGACTCTGAGCACACAACACCGAGTCCTTCCGATCAATTCACAGCACACAAAAAAAGCCAATTAACAAGAGTGTATTAATTTCGCACCGGTACAATGCCAGTGCAAAGTCCATTTCATTAACACCATCCTTTGAAGTTCGTCAAGCTATATTTGAAAAAGAGGTGGAGCTGTGTGAGAAAGGGGAAGGTAACGAGAGAGGATAATGTCCCGAAGCCGTGCCAAGAGCAGGTCCGTGGGCAGACAGAGATATGGATCTTTGGAGTGTGCCCAAAGATAGAAGACACTCTCCATTACGTACTATGGGGTGGTATACCTGCTGCCTTATATGGGCATTGTGAATAATATGATCTATATGTGTTTTAATGGACGGATGGACTTGGGTATGACAAACTGGGTTCAAAATTCCCCTCTTCAGCAGAAATGTTAATGAGGGGGAAAAAATATGTTTAATGAATATTTCCAACAGGTCATTTCTGCTTGGCTTGATAACAACTTGTCATATCATTGAGAGACACTTTGAGAGATCTAGCCATGATAAAACTGCATCAGGGAGAAAAGAATAAATGACATTAGTCCCAGTCCCAATGGTTTTGGTCGATCTATTTAAGGTACATAATGGAGCATAGAGTCTAATGCCACGTAAGTCTTACAAGTCTGATCCATGGAGGGGCGACCTGCTCACAGTAAGAATGTGGTTTTTTTTTCTGTCCAGTGCTGCACTTTGGAAAAATACTTGGAAATAATGACAATGGATAACTCCCAGAAAGTTACACTGTGTTTTAGGATGATATTACGTTGATAAAGCAGTCCTGCGTGTAAAATGTTAATTGTGTATCTATCCGATATATGTCCTTTTCAAAACTTACTAATTGGTCTTTTAACCCTTCTCAGTGATACTAAAAAGCCAATTATATTGTTAATTTGTTGTATGTAGATATCGAACAATCCATAACTGGTCAAAATGGAAAGAATTTGGCAAAAGGTGAGGAAGTGACACACCTGCTTTTATTTAAATTGAACTGCTAATAGCGTCACGCCTATTGATTACATAGTGTTCTAGCTAGATGCTAATGCTATAGGGGTATTTACAGCCTATAGGGTCAGGCTTATTGATTACATATGACAGTGCGCTAACGTGAAGCTAATGCTATAGGGCTGTATAGAGAAGTTGTAACAGTCCCACAAGTAAACAAGCCGGGTTCAGATTTCAAGATTCATTTTCTTCCCAAACACTGAGCCGGATTTAGGACCCAATGGATTTTCTAGATCCAAACTTTGTCCTTGCAAGCTGACGCAAAAAAAAAAAAAAAACTGCAAATGGGTGTGACTGCTGGAATTTCCACACGAGACGCACTCAGAGATGGTCATGTAATAATAGTATTGTTTTATTGTCAGGTATAATAAAATAGTGGGAGATCGGTAATGGCTTGAAGTGGTATATAATTACATTTTGGGTTTATTGGAAAAGTGAGTGGAACATGTATTGCAGCAGCGGGGCAAGTGAGGACAGAATTTTCCAGGTGTGGCAGACCACTTTGAGCATGAGATTGTTTTAAGTACTATCTTGAGTTGGAATGGCATATAGATTTGGCAAAACAATAGACAAACACATGTAAGCACTTTCAGACCACGGTGAAGAAAATCATCCAACAAAATTGCTTAATCTAGAGATATACTTTCCGTGCCTTAGCTCATCTATCTTTGTCAATCCCACCTCACCCCCCTACTCCCAATGGGACCCCCTTTTGAGAAAATGTGACAAAAGACTCAGCAGCAGCAGCAGCAGCAGTAGAGACCAGCGCGCTCCAACCATCACCAGACCCCCCCATTCTAACCCACCTCTGCCCAGCCATGTCAGCCAATTTCTCATCCGCAATCTCCTTAAGATTCTAACCTTTTTCTTGACTTCTCTGGGCTTCTTCTTGCTCTTTTTCTTCTTTTCCTCCTCCTCTGCAGCGAGGTTTTCATCCGCTTTCTTCTTGAGCTGGGAGGCAGCGTGCGCCATGCCGACACGGTCCAATTAATCCGCACAGGTGGCAAAGGGAAGACCGCGGGGCTGGGGGGGTAAATACGGGTGTTTTCTTCTCCACCGATTCAACGCTCAACCAAAATCATTTCATTCATTAAACATTGGGCTCTTCTCTTTGTTGCTCCTGGCTCCCATTGTGGTTCCAAGCCAATCACTGCAGATGTTCCAGGTTGGGGCAAGACAAGCTCCATTGATCAGACCTCATTGAATGGTCTGTAAAAATCACCCAATCGAGAAAAGGAAAAAACAAGCTTGAATCGTGGAAATCTTAACTGTCCATTTTGTCTATAAAAATGTTCTTCTTCTTGATAACATCTCCTCAAAGCTGGACTAATGGAAATCCGTGGTAATAAGTAGGTTAATGCCCAAAATGACTAGTCCATACCCAATGAAATAAGCCCAGTGGTCCTATTTATCAGACTGGTCAACGCTCCATTGAAAGGTAAGCCTCATGCAAGAGACATGCTTCCACCAGACAAGACAACAGCAGCATATGAAGCGAGGAGAGAGATGACACGCGAAAGGAGGCTGAGGAGGAGGAGGAGGAGGGGAAGGATATGGGGGGAGTGGGTATTTGGAGAGAGAGAGAGAGAGAGAAGAGAGGGGGGGAGGCAGAATAGGGGAGAATATAGAGACAGCAGCTGGGACAGTGGAAGGATGAGGACTTGTGCTTAAGACCAGCTGGCTTCGGTTTGCAGACAAAGAAAAGGGCAAAGATTTAGACCACTCAGCACATAATCATATATTACGACTGAATGGGACGCAGAGAATGGATACACAGATGTTTGACCGATTGGGAATAAACGAGAGAGAGATTCAAATAGTGATTAAATCCACTAATACATACATAATTCATTCTTTAAAGGGTATGCATATTCAGAATTGTAAATAGCTGAGATACACCTGACCTTGAAATATAGCCTTGAAGAGTCCAATCAAGCTTGTTCCTTACTTGTGCATTAAAATAAAAAGAATGCAATCAAAAGTAGGAAAAAAAGGCAAGACAAATGACCGAGGATTGCACTAATAATCACACCAACTGACATATACTTGACATTTACTATTGTATTGTTCTTTGGGCTATTTGTGCGTTTTCTCTTTGATACAATGGCACACTAATAGTTGTTTGAAATACAAAAATAACAATCGCTGTCTCATCGGCTTTCACATCTATAAATAAGCATTATGAGAGTTTACGACGTGGAAAAAGTGCATGTCAAATGTGTTTGTGCTAACATACCTATTCCATAGTTACTGGGCTATAAACCAGCGTGGACCACCCATTACCTATTTGCGGAAAAACAAGACAAAAGGGTTTACAACATGGCCATTTGCTCCTTGGAATTCTTTTTTTCTCTTTGTCAAATTCCTTCAGGGGTTGCTCAACACACAGCTCTGACATCAAGCAGCGATTTGCACATTTTGGGCAAATTCAAAACCAAATTGGGACCAGAGCAAGGTGCACACATGGCTTACGGACGGCGTGCAATAAATTATTAACTCAAAAAATGTACTTCATAATAAATTGATCAGATACGGTGCAGACTTTGTTCCTTAAGGAAATTCATGTCCGACTTTTTGTAAACGCTGCAAGTTTCAAGGAAAAATTCTGGATTATCTTAAAATTAATGAGAATTTGTGCCTTAGGTCTTTCTGCTCCACATAGGAAAACCCCAAATGAATAATTAAGGCTCTTCCTTTCAAAATGCAAATCAATTTTTTAAGGATAATTTTGAGGCTAAAACGGGTTGTGTTCGTGCTTGTTTTGGGATGAGCTCACGACACTGCAGCCTCTCAATATTTACAACAAGAAGGAGAGGATTGGGCAGCGTCTCGTGACGGGGTCCTGTGACTGAAACAGAGGCTTCCCATTGGCTCAGCGTGAGGGAGAGGTGACGGCCAGTGTTATGTGGGCAAAGGGGTAATCCTGTTAATGATGAAAGACTGGAGGCTAATGTGAGAAGAGTGTAATCAAAGAGTACAAATAGTATACCAGCAACACCAATAAATCAGGTACCAACTTAAATATAGGAAATACATAGACAATAACAGTAGAATAAGTGGTAGCAATCATGTAAACAACCATTACTAATCGACTATTAAATAACATAATTGGGTCATTGTTAGCGGTATACTGTACAAACATGCTAAAACTCAAAAGAATATACCGAACTTAACAAATCAGTAGATGAATTAAGATTAGTATTGATGTTAGATTGATTTTGGAGATTGAGTCTGATCTACAGCATAGTTTGCCATTTTACTATCCTGACCACAAAGACAAAGAATCACTGTAAAATTAAATGTGTTAAAAAAAAGAACATATTTTTAAACAGCCAAATGATTTTAACTTGTCTTTGAGCCAATGTTATACGTAGATGTTAGATGTACTGTGTATATACTGTAGCTAGTACATGGAGCTATTGTTTTGTTGTGATCAATTACAATTAAAAACACATATTCATATTTACAGGACTTTCAATAAGCAAACAACGAATCGATAGTTGGAACATTAACTATCATTAACCTAAATGATCAGTTGAATATGTTGTCCTTTTGGGTTAATATTGTATCTTCCATATAATCTCGGCTTGACCTTTCAAGTTCTTTCTGAAATTGCATTACACTTCTACTGAGAAAAAAACCCCTTGGCTTCATAACCAATTTGAAACACTAATCTCAAAACATGTGATGTACAAATTCCTCCTCTTTATCCCCATTATTACCTCATATTAAGTCATTAAAATGGCATTCCTCAATAGTTTAAGAAGCCTCCACTGTCCACGCCCTTACAAACTACGTCAAATCATCTCTCAGCAATAAATCCAATCCAAAAAGACAAATCCCCCATTATCTTCATCTGTAAAGCAGGATTATGTGAATTAGCAGTACTGGCTTCGAAGACATTAAGCTAGTCTCAAAACTGGCATTATAAGGTATAAGGAATAAGGCCAGCTGTTGTATTTATTATCGCTCCTAAAAATATTAAAATAGATTACTTAATCGGGAAATAGGACACTGAAGACACACATCAGAAACTGGGTTAATCACAAAAACATGAATGCATGAAACTAGGCGATCGAGGCAATTGCAACGCTAAAGTGTATATATTATTATATAAAAAAATAGAAATAGTACCATAGTAACATTTTCAGATGGAGAATTTGTGTCGACTTTAAATAATTTAGCACCATCTCATTCTGTGGTTTAGAGCTCCCCTATGTGGTCATGGAAGGGGGCGGCTTTATTAAATGTACAAATAGTGTAAATCCTTCGCTCAACACCAGAGGGCGACGTTAGACTGACTTCAATGCACTCTGCTGCCGTCCGCGTTCAATTCAACAAAAGAATGGACTGGTTTAAACTCTGTCCTCACGGATCAGTGCATTTCAAACGCCAACGTGAATTACCTTTTCAAATAATAGGAAGGATTGGAGTGGGATCAGAGTGTGGGCACGGATTGGAAGCCATGAAAGTTATGCTTCTAATATTGTCATGTTTAAAGCACAACATTGAGCAGCAACACAATATTCTAGGGTTGAGTATTGAATATTATTGATGGGATTGTATGAAATGAGCATGGAAAGGTATGATGGTATACAGTAGAGGTGTGTATTCCACAGACTTTTACAAAAACAAATGAATTTTATTGAACCAGGATAGAATTAAAAGTTAATCTTATCTAATCTAATAGTCCCACGGAGATTTCAGGATGCAGTAAAAATCAGAACTGCAAAAATGCAGCTGTTAGAGTACCACAGTGTTGCAAGGAGAGATATTAACAATAGAAAAGGCTTCATTTTGACAGAAGAGAACATGATATGGGCAACAATTGTACTTTTGTGAACTCTATAGTTAATTTAGACGGCTGCTTTGGTCCAAAAAACAGTGAAATATACTGATAGAGCTGGGTTAATACTGCACAAATCCTCACAATATTGGATTTTTCATTTCACAATATTACAGTTAATCTACTCCACTCAATCTCTAAACTCTATCTTTGCTTTAGGTTGTGATGTTTTTTTATGGAGATTGATCAGTCTAATGCCATACTGTGGAAGATTCCAGGTAAAATGCCAAAAATACAGAGACAACAGCGTTTGTATACAACACGATCGCTAAAGTAAAATGAATCTTTTTTTTCCAGGACTTGGGTCATAATTATAGGCATTTGTTCTGGTCCTGATATTAAAGCAGATATGATAAACGTTGAGAAATCCCTGAATACCCAGACAAACGTCGCAAAAATGGAAAAGACCCGCGCTCCATGCTGCGAGTGAAGATTTTCTGCATGATATCTTTAGCCTCATCCTGTTGGAACCAGCTGGGTGAGAGACACTGTAAACACTACATTACATAATTGAAACTAAAAGCTTGGAAATAGTCTCTTTCTGCTTCTTCGGTTATATTGATTTTTATGTGTCATGTTCCAGGCCATTCTAAACAGTAAGTGGGCACATTCATAACAGTTTTTGTTTTCTTCCCAAATGAATTAGAAACAAGAAGTAGGGTTGTGTTGTGTTCTGACAGAAATAATTGTGTGACGATTTGTGATATAGGACCATACATATAATTTGGTTAAAAAGCCATATTCATAAAAAAGCCAATTCTATCATAAATAATCAGCCGGATACCATAGCTCCCTGCTGATAAGGCCATATCACAGAAGCTTAAAGGAGCTTATCAAGGCATTTTCTGTTCAAAGAGACCATAACAAATGTTTTAAAAATCCCTCTAATCAAATGAAAGTCAAAGATATTATCATTTTTTGACAACAACTGAAAAGATTTACAATTTGCCTGATTATTCAAGCATGCAAAGCAAATCCATCTTGACTCTCATAGTTGCAATCTATCCAACATTCTTTACATTCACTGTGTTTTGCTGAGAATATATGTTTATTCAATATGTTTTTAGTCGGTTTGATTTCAACAAGCTGCTTTGCATTTGTTCCCCCATATATAAAACACATTATT